GAAATTCAAGAATACAAATTGGAATGCATAAATGACGCCCACGAGATCTAATTTATAGAAGATGAGGGGCTGTGGATAGAGAGACACGCTCCAAAACTCGACAACCTTTACCAAATGTCGCAGTCTTTGGTGTCACTCGCCTATTGCCCGTACGTCGTTCGAGCCACAAAAGCAGAAAGTCCAACGCTTACCTGACGTTGGCTTGACACTCGAGCAGTGGTCTTAAAGCTAAATTACTCATTTTTTTCTTCTAATTTTGGACCACAATTTCTCATTCATCCGGAATTTGTTTGAAAATTTCAAATATACCACGATTATCCAATCGTCGAGTAGAACATGTTAGTCTATTTATTTTCATAATTTGGCTATCGAATTAAGTTTGAATATTTGACCGAAATTGACATGAAAGTCACTTTTCACATTTTTAGGGTTTTATACTTAACAACCAATTTTAATCTTTTTCAAACCAAATTCCAACCCTAAGTTGTTGACATGAAATTAATAATTTGGTATAATGTTTTGTTAGAGTCAATAATCGAGTCAGTCTCGTAATAAGGACACAAGAAAAATAAACAATAGAATAATATATGATTCTAGACTATTGTCAAATGGGTCTTAAGATTATGCATGCGTAGGCCTGGGCTAAAAATTCGACTAATTGACCATTCTCTACGAACCCCGACTATAACCATTTGAGTCGGTTTTCAGGTTGAGCTTGGATCCGACACTAAAATTCGGTTCTACTGTTGAGTTGTGTCCTACTCAACCTAGCCTGACTCTTTGTTTTAAACAAAATTGTTGTTGATTTTATATCCCGTAAGTATATGGATCGTAACAAATAATATAGAGCACCTAAATGTACGAATAATCGTTCCCACGAGAACTACTAGATAGTTATTTATCTTTTTGTGACTTTTTATTTTAAATAAACTAGAACAAAAGATAATTTTTTAATGATGGTTTAAGGGTTTGGACTTGTGATTTCACCATAGTTATTCCTTTAATCTTAATCACCATTTATTATATTTACCCGATCAAGTTCTTCTTACGTATTCAATTTATCTATATTGAGTTCATATTGATTCTATTTAACTAAGTTAATTCCATATCTTTATGTGAATTCAGATACGCCTTAGTTAAAACATTAAATCTCTAAGAATCCACGTAACGACTTATTAACTAAAAAATATATTTTTACACTTTTATATTAGTTCCCAAATTTTATTACGGGATCTAAACAAATAATCTGCATATCTATGTAACTATCGTTTACAAAATCAATGAATTAGTGGCCAATTAATCTAAGCATTAAGATTAAAAGTAAAAACAATTCACAAATTCAATGGGAAATTTAAACTTTTTAACTAAAAATAAGGTTCAAAACTATATTACAATCATTTATTCTAATTAATTACTTAATTACACATCATGGAAGAATAAAAATAGAAGAAAGAATTAAAGTACATCACCGGATTTTAAGGAAAAACAAGAAAAAAATGAAAATCTTTGTACCAAGAATCCGCCTTTTTCTTGTAAAATATTGGAACCCTAGTTTCTTGATTGATTTTTCGATTTTTCCCTCCTTTTGGACTTGTATAATACGTGTAAAATAAATTTCCCAAGCCTAGGCTTGAATATATACGTCTAATGAAATTCTACAAGCTTTCGGCTTGAATATATGTAAGAATGAAATTCTAATATTTTCAATTAAGTCCTCTTCATTCTAAAATCATAATAGTTGATTTGAGACAAGTTTTGAAATTCGCAATTTAGTCCCCAAACTTTTCAAATATTGAATTTAACTCTTGAAACTTATGAGTTTTTACCGAATGCTCCATTAATACTTCCAATTGAAAAGTAAAACTAAGCCACTAACCTTTTCATTGTTGGTTTGCTACAGACCATCACTATGCACAAGGCACCAACAATACCACCCAAAACCCAAATCTCAAACTTGCGACCTACCTCTACCTCCAAATTCGGCATAGATGGTTGTAGTGGTTATCGACTAGGCGTACAAATTTGAGCTCAAACTCCAAGAGTAAGTTGTTGTCTTATTCGTTTTTTGGTAAAGAGAAAAAACACAAGAGTTAGGGTGGCACACAAATTTGGCGATGGTGGAGTGCATGATTAGGATTGAACATTTTAATCGAAATTGAACCTTTTGAATCGAAACCATATGATTCGATTTGGTTACAAAATTAAAAAATTAGGAATTGGAACTGAAAACCAAATCCCAATTGGGTCCGAACTATTTCTTGAATTGGACATTGGGTACCCCGACTTTGGACTGAATTTGTCATATTTATAATTTTTTGTATTTTTTAAAATATATTCACTATGACTTAATGACCGAGCCAAACAAGTAGAAAGTTTGCAAAGCCCCAACAAGTAGTTAGTTTGCAAAGCCCAAGCAGTAACTACCATAATTAATCATATTCATTTATTTGAAATCATATTATTCTCGTTTGACATAACACTTTACGCGCCGCCCACCACATAAACGCTTCTTGAGGTGTTGCACGCAGAGCCACAACAGATATTTGATGCTGCTATGCTAGCTATTGGGTATTATTTGGTGACATATTAGTAGTGAAATAAGAAATTGTTGAAATATATATTTGGTAGCATATTTTACTTTTCTAATTTAGCTAGCTATTGGAAATATAATTTATATTGTTAGCTCACTATTTTTTTTAAAAAAAATGTTATGAGTAGAATCGAATAGGAACCGATGGCTTGGGTTTGGGTCCAATAATTATGTGGACCCGAATAGTTCATTCATGAAATATTTGAAATGTAATTGGTGATTTTGAGTATTGAAATACTCGAACCGATCCACTCGATGTCCATGCTTATTATTTATGATGGAGTATCTAGAAATAAGTGATAGTGGTGCGCAGATTTGAGTCGAAATTGAACCAACCTAAACATGTTCAATTAAGATCAATTCAATTTTGGAGACTAATCGGTTTGATTTTCGTGTTGAGCTTGGTCCTAATTCGAAAAGTCGCTCATGTGGTCAACGGGGCAGAGCAAGCACCTAATGAGCTCTTGCGACCGCCCATGCTAGCTCCATTGAATTTTTTTCACTTATATTAGACGATCGTCTGTGCTCATCTAGATTCGCCCGTGCTTACCTGGATTCTTGGATTCGCCAATGGTGGTCGAGTTGGGTCCTAACCGACTCGACTTGTGCCCACCCCTATACATGCTTGTTGTTATCTAGTTTGGACCATTTTTTACAATGTTGGCAATCCCAACCTCCCTCGTTTCAACTTATAATAATATTGATAATATTACTTGTACATAATGCAATTACATAATGATTTACATAAAGATGAGATGTCAAAGATAGTGAAGAAGTTTTTTTTTTTTTTTGGTTAAAAAAGTTCTACCCAATTATATCTCATCATATGATGTATATGTAAATTATTATATAAATCATTATTATTAGTAAGACAACCGTAATAAAAAAAAAATACATATTATAGTTGCCATTCTACTTAAAAAACAATAAATATAAATGATATGGGTTAGGCTACATGTACCGAATTTTTATACCAAATCTTTTACACTCCACTCATATTAGGAGGTGGGGACCACAAGCTGAAATTTATAAATACACATTGGTGCCCATTGTTTGAAAACACTTTTTGTTATAGGACCATATATTCACAGAATAAAATTTTTTTTATGTAAATTCAAAACTTTTTCTATTTCTAACCGTACATTCTTCTAAAAATGCTATTTAATTTTATTTTTATTTTATAAATAATCGGCACCAAACGGGGACTATCATGCACAAGCATAACCAACCAGGGGCGGATCCAGCACCCGACGAGTCGAGGCGGCCGCCCGTGCTGAATCCGTTGAGCAAAATATTAAAGGAAGATTTTATATTAAATATATATAAGCTTTAGTGCATAAATGTTATAGGATAAGTAATGTAGCTCAAATGGTTGAGTGTTTACAATTAGTGAGAGATGATTGGGGTTCGAATCCTTTCACTGACATTCTTTCTTTTAATATTTCGACAAATAATAAATAAATAAAAACTATACCAATTTTCAACCAATAAATGGTGTTTCTCAACATAAATGTTACATGAAAAGCAATGTAGCTCAGATAGTTGAGTGTTTACTTTACATGTGAGATGAATGGGGTTCGATTCCTTTCACTTTAACCCTTTCTTTTAATGTTTTAATATTCTGACAAATAATAAATAAAAACTGTACCAATATTTAACCAATAAATGGTGTTTCGATTCCAATCACCTCCTCTCATTCTTTTAATTTTTTTAAACAAATTAAATTGAAAACCTGAACAATTATATATTATTAGTTTTCGTTTATGAAATATCTTTTTTAAGAAATTTATTTACTTAAATTATTATTTCATAATATATACTTTTAGTATTAGATTTTATCAATTTATTTTGTAAAATTAGATTTGGACAATCTAAGTATTTTTTTTTTTTTTAAGAGTTCGAAATGTGATTCGCTTAAACTCGAGTTTGTCTTTTTGGTTTAATCATGTTTTAAGTATAAACTTTGTCTTGTCTAATTTAAATTTGTAAAAAACTTGAAACTTGATCATTCGTATATGATTGACAAAAGTAGTTTTTTTAAAATTATTTTGGATTATGTTGAATTATATTTTCATACATGTATATGACTTTTACGATTTAATGCATTTATATATTAATTGATTTTTTTAAATATTATTTAATTAAATATTAATAAATAATTTTGTTATTGCAATGGTCGCCACTGTAACCAACTCAAGTTGCATTCAAAATCAACCACATATATTATGTGAACATTCATCCTACAACACAAATCACAAAATCTCTTCCTCCAACGAAGACAAAAAGCTTGTACGAAGAAACAAAAAATCTCGACTCGTGGTTAATTTTACGTTAAATTGTAGTTGGTGTATAAATATTTAAGCATTATCTTGAACAAAAATTGCAGTTGAGTGTGAGAAGGGAAAGAGTTATGGCTTGCGCATTGTCAGGGAACAGCTGCACAGTCACAAGTAGCAGATTGGTGTTCAAAAGGTCCCGGAATGAGCCCAAGAAGAGGCACAATTTGCATTTATTCAGAGTGAGGGCTTCTGCTGAGGATTCTGATTGCAATACTGAAGAATGTGCACCTGATAAGGAGGTAATTTCTTTACTACCACTTTTGGTCATTTGCATTTCTACACTTAATCAAAAGGTTCATATGTGTATGTAGTCAAATTGTATAAGAATCAGGCAAGATTGAAGTGGTTTTGAAGAATTATTCAAGTTAAAAGCGTTTTTGATGATTAAGGTTCAGTTTCATGTGAAATATGGCTGTTCAGGAGTTGTATGACATATTTCCTCTAAGAGTGGGTGCTGATACTGGCAGTGTCAGTAGAGAATATTAGTTTGCTGTCCCATTAAGGAAATGAACTGGTTTTGATTAAAATTTCTTGGAAACCAATTCAGGGAGTATAGTTGAATGAAGTATGATTAAGAAAGTAGAGTAAGAACAAGTTGATTTGCCTGGATAATGGGTAATAGGAAATATGCAAATTTTAAGAAGGCTGTAGAACGCCTAACCACCTAATAATTCTGTTGTTATTTCTGTTGGACTTTGCTTAGAGGGAAAAGAGTTTTATTGTACGGATAACCAAGAAAACAAGTATCCAAAAGGAACAAGGAATCATAAGATTGAACAAGCCAACAAAAGGAGATGACGTCATTTTCCAGAATCTTGCATAGGCAGGATCAAGCCTTAGTGTACAAGAGCAGTGAGATTTTAGAACAGACCTAAAGAAGTATTCGTGCATAAGAGATGAGATCCCAGTAAATCTGGTAGGGAAGAGAGACCAAGACTAACATTGGTTTCATTGAAAAATATTTGATATTGTAGGAGCTGTTACTTAATGTGGCATGTTGAATCAAACTGCTTGGAGACGACTTCCAGTTTATTGGGAATAAGTTTTAAGTTTATGTTAGGTAAAGCTTTTAAGTGTTTACAAATTAGTCAAATATCATTTTTAATCAGACATTCTTCGATGACTCATGACTTTTATCTACTTTTTAGCCACGCATTCTTTAGTTTTTAGCCACACGTTCTTTAAGACTCACTGGTTGTAAGCACTTAAAAAGCTTAGCCAAGCAAGCACTTAGTTTATAGTTGCTATGTTTAACTTAAGTTAGCTTGCTATTGCTATTGATTATTGAATCTTTGACATATTATCAATATACCATTTTTTGGGTAGAAAATGCTAAGTGAAACCTGCAATCCTTCACGAGAAACTACATCAATAACGACTCTGCTTGTATTTTATACCTTATTTGAACATGCATAAACTATTTGTGTTTGGCCTATTTGAACACTAATGATTTAAGTATGGGATGCTATCATTTCTTAAAATAGTGACTTATATGGTGCATGTACTCATTGTTTCGCTTATTCCATATAATTATCAACCATCTTCGTATTGACTCTTTTATTTATTTCAATAATCACATATTACCTTAGACTAAACTATGGCGCTGTCATTTTTCATGCATCATTGAGCCAAACTAGATTTTATTTGACACACTTGGTCACTCCATCCCCTGTTGGGACAGAATGGGACCTGACACTTCAACTGATTGGGTCTTTATGTTTGAAATTTTAAATTATGCTTCAAATTTTAAAACTGTGGGAAGAAATTTAGTTCTGTACTCACAACTCTCTGGTTTTAATCACATTTTTGCAGTAATGTTAAACAATCCGAAGTTTTTTTATTTTTCCTTCTGTTTTATTAGAAAGACATTTTTATTGATAATTAACTGATTTCTCCAATAAAACAGTGGCACCCAGCCCTGAACAGAAACATGCAGTCTACTTGTGAAAATTTAAATTCTTACTAGAATTTCCGTTTCATCCTATTCCTTCTTATTCCGTTGATTGATAAAATTCTGCTGGAAAATTCAGTTCATGCCTTGGTATCATAAGTTCACGTGCAATATGATAGTTTGTTGCTCTCATCTTGAAAGGAATCTGAGACATTGACAATGATGAAACAGGTAGGGAAAGTGAGCATGGAATGGGTAGCTGTGGACAATACAAAAGTTGTTGGTACATTTCCACCGCGGAAGCGTGGTTGGACTGGGTATGTTGAAAAGGACACTGCTGGCCAGACTAATATATACTCTGTTGAGGTTGGTAAATAAACACTTCTCCTATATCTTTGGGGTATTGAAATATGATCGATCTGTGGGTTGGTTTATATATGTGTTCAGGTTATTGCATCTTCCAAAAGAACTGTGCTCATTGTTTTGCACGTCTCTCTCTTTGAACTTGATGCTGCTTTGATTAAAGAATCCAATTATAACCACCAAATTGCTATTGTAAAGCTGCCATTTCACCTCATCCCCAAACTCCTAGCTGATGAAAATTTGTTTATGGCAAAAAACACAAGATCATTATATATTGATGTTTCTCAATGGAAATTGGAGGTAAAACAATTATCTCTGGTTACGTTGACTTGCAGTATTCTGGGAAGAGATCATCAGAATGTAACTTTCTAAGACCAAACTAGCATTTGAGAAGATAACACTGCAAAGTTCTCTCTCCATATAAGTCCTCCTTCCAAACCCTGTTTAGACGATGATTTGCATCTCTTCAGTTTATGACTTGACCTGATTCATTTCAGTTATAGTTCATGTTGTAACAAAGTTTGTACTGGAAATGAAACAGGAACTGATTTTTCTGCTTCTTTGTCTATGTACTCAATTCAATTTAAATTGAACAGATTGGAAAGTCCTTCAAGCTTAATAATCTATGTGATCAAAACATCTGTTTTCCTCGAATAATCCCAACATTCCAAGTTCCTCATGCCTGCCTTTTCGTTATCTCATATAAGACTCATTTGGCATCCCTCTGCCTTTGACACGTAACTGCTGTTAACCCCACTCTCCAAAACCTTGTGCTTACATATGCGGACACATCAATAATAATGTAAATAACATCTTCATCAGTTATAGAAGATAATAAACAGTTAAAGACTTTTATAGGTAGTGTGTTACAAGGCTCGAAACATGTACCTTGTCTACTCTTTGTGGTGGACTCCTAGGCCAGATCCACAACAGGAGCAAAGACATATGTTAATGTAGTATATTTTTCATTATTCTCATTTCTACCAATGATATTATGGCTTTTATTGAAAATATAAAGCACGGTGTAAGATGAAAACACTGTCTCTAAATGCTAAAAACAATTGCAGAAAACTACACTATAGTACACCCGTTGACTAAAATATAGGGAAATTGGGTACCCTTGACTCTTTATTAAAAACATCCGAAGAGGAGGCCAAAATACAGTCCTACTGCATAGAAACTTATATTCCATAGTTGCCCCCTATTCAACTTCTTCACGTCAGTTTGACATACCGGATCCCAAAAATCTAGGTCACTTGGTTTACCTCCAAATGATATTCAAGATACTTTAATGGCAATCTGATACAGGGGAAGATTATAGGAAAGACAAAAATCTCACAAAAAGAATTTCAATCAAGAGAAATTCAAGAAAAACTTTATTTCATTCAAAATTGAGCTGCCTCAAAGGGCTTACAACGTTTAAATAGCAAAACCCTAATAAAATTCGAAAAGAAATTACATAATAATAAAAAATATTATTTTTTCCAAAAATGGAAAAAATTGAGATAATCACGGATCTTGATTCTCCTCATTATCAGGATCATCCCCCAACAAACGGAAATCAAATCCGAGTTTATTTGATTAAGATATTGTCAAAATAAAAATTACCATAAATGGCAAAAACGCATAATTGATGGCCTAAACGACGGAATTTGCTCAAAATTTGAGTTGTGATCATTGGTCCGTTTCCACTCAAATTAGACTAGCAATTCGCCAAAAACGAACAAACCTGAAATTAAATGGAATTATTATTTTGCTTTCATCATTCTCCACGGGTTGAGAAAAATTCGCCCTCGAATTTGATGGGGTAGAACCTCATCATCATCAGAATTATCACCACGAAATGACGGTTCTTGCGGTAATCCATTTGGAAGCTCTTCCGAGAAGTCCTCATGAAATTCCTCTAGCAATGACTGAATCCTGGGAGTGACCTCCCGCTCACTGTCAATTGACTTTTCCACCAGCACATACACTATCCCATATCCTTTCATATTTGTCTCGAACTTCACTATGGTCAGTAAATTGACATCATCCCCAACTGTTTTTACTGAGCCCTTATCTGGAAGCAACACACTTTTCTTTTCCTCAATAGTACACGTCGACTGGAAGAGATTAGTACGCAACCAGTCAGTGTTATTTTCTAGAGAAGTCAGAAAACTCCACCTCACCACCAATGCCTACCCACATCACCAACCACAAACTCTTCCTTCTCTGCTGCTTCTTCTACACCTTCACTGTTAAATACAGGCGGACTGTAATAATCAAACTCTTCCTCCTTTGTTGTTTTTTTAGTGTCTTCATTGTCAAATACAGGCGGACAATCATAATCAAACTCTTCCTCCTCTGTTGCTTCTGCTATGTCTTCATTGTCAAATACAGGTGAACCTTCATAATCAAATTCTTCCTCTATTGTTTCTTCAATGTCTTCAATCGTGACATTCTGAATATTATGATCACGGTGTTGGACTTCCTCAATCGGAACCTGTCCATGATGACCACGACCTCTAGGCGCATGTTGCTGCGGCATAAGTGCAGCAACTCCACTTGTTGACGCAGCTGTGCGATTTTATCACGTCTATGTATCTCCTCTACTAGGGCTTCACGGACTTCTTAACGCCTCCTTGACGGCATGGTGAAGGAACGACTTCAGCTCTAATACCAACTGACGTAGGGAAAGATTATAGGAAAGACAAAAATCTCACAAAAAGAATTTCAATCAAGATAAATTCAAGAAAAACTTTATTTCATTCAAAACTGAGCTGCCTCAAAGGGCTTACAACGTTTAAATAGCGAAACCCTAATAAAATTCGGAAAGAAAATAAATAATAATAAAAAATATTATTTTTTCCAAAAATGAAAAAAATTGAGATAATTACGGATCTTGATTCTCCTAATCATCAGGATCATCCCCCAACAAATGGAAATCAAATTCGAGTTTATTTTACTAAGATATTGTCAAAATAAAAATTACCATAAATGGCAAAAACGCATAATTGATGGCCTAAACGACGGAATTTGCCCAAAATTTGACGTGCATCAGGACCAAAGGCCCTGAGTTGTGATCATTGGCCCGTTTCCACTTAAATTAGACTAGCAATTCGCCAAAAATGAACAAACCCGAAATTAAATGGAATTATTAGTTTGCTTTCATCACAATCACTCCACCTTGCAATTCAAATCAGCTGCTAAAGCAGCTACCTGACCCCCTTCACATTCAATACAACTAAAGTTCTTTGTTTTGTTTAAAAAAAAAAAATCAATCTTTAAGTTGAATGTCCAACTAAGAGCTTCTCAAATCTGCAAATCTTAAACCTCAACACCTTCTCATCTTCTCTTCTCACTTCCCTCCACCCATCAACTTTTAGTTTTATTCAAAACCTTGTTAAAATGTGGGAGGCAATGGTGAATAAGAAAGAAACAAAGGATCTCCTTGCCTAAAACCTCCTGAAGTCCCAATTCTTTTGGTAGGCCTCCTATTTATATTAACTGAGAAATTCGTGAACCAAGACATCTATCTCTAGTTTTCCCCCGAATTGTTATTTTGCAACGACCCAACTGACATGATCATAAGCTTTGCCAAAAAAGACCGACTTTACCTCTAGATCTGTGATGTTTAACAACTGCAAAATTTATTCCAAGAGTGATTATTCCTCTCTGTCATCATTACTAAAGTAAATTTATCATGTTTTGATTATTCTGAAATTACAGGGTATATTACACATTCATGAGACTGAAAATTGACCTTTCAAGTGTTACTTCAAGATAGATATCTCTGTAGGTCTAGTTTGGCCATTAGAGCAAGACCTAGAATTCACTCGAGGAAAAACTATGTAATTTTCATCTAGGATTATTCTAGATATCTTTATAATTGCTAATCATGCAATAGATAGCAAAAAAAAAAGCTGTTACTAGTTGTAGTTTAATGATTAAGCTCCCGTTTGTTTCTCATTTTTCATCCATAAAAATGAAAAATATAATCGTTATCCATCATATCAACTTATCAATTTTGAATTTTTATCTCTTGTGTGGTGCCCAATAACAACTATATTTTTCATTTTCATTCTATAATAATGAGAATCAAACGGGCCCTAAGTGTCCTGCATAAGGGGAGTCAATCTAGTACCACCTGTAAGGACCCATCATTTATGCCTAAGTTGTTAACCTACGTATTGTCTGCTCTAAAAGAGCTTAGACAATCTTACCATTCACGATTTTTTATTGCATCCCCAAGATTCGAACACATGACCTTCGCTTAAAAGAGTCTTAAGGTGAATCCTTGTACCAATTTTTCATCTTACCCCTCAAAGATTTCTATCACGTCCCAAAGATTCAAACCCATGGCATTTTCTTTAAGAGAGACTTAAGCTGAATCTTGTATCCCTTACGGATTTATATCGCGTCTTTAGGATTTGAACCCATAACTTTTCCCTTAAGAGAAATTTAAGTTTAATCCTAATCCTCTCTTAAGAGAAATGTCATGGGTTTAAATCCTGGGGACAAAATAGAAAATTTTGACGGATAAGATGGGTTTAAGCTCTCCTGTAACGAATAGTACACCGGGTCGTTACACCTCCAGTTTTCTCCTGCAATACACAGTGTATCACCCACCAGTCATACTGTATTAGTCAATTTTCTTATCCACTTTTTTACTAATAATAATTATCGTATCTCCATTTCCAAGAAGAATGAAGTCTATCAACAGATGTTATCCATCAGATACGCTAGGCCCTGGTTTTTAGAGAATATTTTAGGTTCCATGAAATGTGTCTATAATTCAGGGTATGTTTGATGGATATTATTGAGGAAAGAATGTATAAATAGTGATATGATGGGAAATATGTGGTTAAAAAGTAAGAAAAAGTTATTGATGTGATGGAAAATATTATTTTATTGAAAAATGCGTGGTTGAAAATGAGTTTTGGAAGAATGTATTTTGAAAAAATGTGTGTCAAACAGGGGCTCAATATCAAATGGCCACAAGTTTTTAAATAAGTACTTAAGAAAAAGTTATGGACTTTTCCAATCCATAATCAGAGCTAACTGATTTAATCTTTGTAGATCATTGCACAAACAATTTCTAGTGTGAAATTGTAATCGTTTTCTGGTTCTTAACACATGCCACCTGGTTTTGTACTTAAGTTTTGCCTAAAATACTTTAATGACATTTCCCACAAGTTTGCAAGGTGTTCAAGTGGTGAAATATTGCATCTAATTCTCTTCTTCTACACAGCCTGCAGTATATGTCGCAGAAAGTGCAATCAGCTCTGGGAATAGAGGGTCGTCTGCCGATGGATCTGACAATACTGCAGCTATTACCGCTGGGATTGCTCTAATTTCTATAGCGGTCGCTTCATCAGTACTTCTGCAAGTTGGAAAGAACGCTCCTGTGATTCAAACAGCAGAATATTCGGGGCCATCTCTTAGCTACTACATCACCAAGTTTACGCCTCCAGAAATTGCTGAAGCAACTGTGCCCACCTCAGCATCTTTACAAACTGAAAGCTCAGCTCCAGAAGTTTCTCAAGCTAAGGTTCAATTGGAAGCTCAGCAGGACATGTCAACATCCAGCTCTAACATTTCTTAGGCGGATGAAATCTGCTAGTTTTCTTTCATAATTACACAGTTTATATGTAGTTTTTAGTAACTTAAAAAGCTATTATCTTCTTATGTGGATAAAAACCATATTTGACTAAGTTTCAACTATATCAATTCTACTACTTGGATGTTATGAAAGTACCATCCCTTGGGAATTTACTTATTCATGTATATGGAATTAAAATTTTTTTTCTATTTCCTTCAAGTATCGTCTGTGTTTAGATAGAAATTATGACTAGAATTATACTTTAACAAATTTTTCAAATTGTTTTGTGAATCTTGATCACGAACAATCACGATTTTTGCTTCTCCTTTTGAATCATGATCTACCACGATCTTTAAACATCTTTATAAATCACGATCTTTTCACATCTTTGTGAATCCCAATCTTTTCTCACTACAATTGTCAAGTCTCCGATAGCAATTCATATAGGAAAACAAGAATGAGAGATAGTGCTTCTCTTTCTTGTGCAAGCAAGATTAGGATATTGTGTTGTGTTGTTAAGTAATTGATAATTAATCCAATTAAAATGGGAGAAAAGCCACAAATTCCGACACCCTCGATCTACCACCAAAACAACTGGATTCTTCTACCACAAGGGGTGGAAATAAACCACCAACAACATCCAAACGTACTCCAGCATCTGCAGCAACTACAGCCCCAAATACATCGAATCTACAATAAAAAAATGTTGGTATGCACTCCAATGCAGTTGAACCTCGCACTTCCGCCAGAATTTGGGGATGGGGTCACCACCAATAAACTCAAAAGGCCTAAAGACCATTGGGTTGGTGTCGGCGGTGTCCAATTTTGCATGAATTAAAACATTAGAAAATGTGCAGCCTGAAACGGATTTTGAAATTAAATCCAGTACAGACCTTCAACAGATACATGTGCTGGACAGGAATGTTTACCCATGATGAGATGATCGTTTGACAAAAAAATCCGTCCGTTTTGACTTAGGACGCCCCTAGCACGGCCACAACCAGTTTGCCTGAAAAACCCAAATTTCGGCCGATGCTGTTAGGCAAAGTGTTGTCAAACGACTTCCCCGAGCAATGATGAAAGCCTTACTCTTTTTAAGTCGGCTTTGACCAATTGACTGAATGCATAATCGACACCACAACTAGGTGAAAGTTCAACTTGACCGACTTGGGCCATTTGAAACATCCTAATTGAATTAGAGTTGCTCATGGCCCAACCCAAATTTAGATGGCTCCTACAATATGCTAGCCCACTACTTATCCTCTCATTGGGCCCCCTAACCTAAAGCCCACTTATTCCTATTATATACTACCATCCATTTCTATTCTAGGTATGAGAATTTATAGCCATTTTTTCTAGATTTAGAAAAAGGAATTCTTCCCTGCTTTGTGATAGAGCTTGGTTTTGTGCCTTGCCGTGTGAGAATTCAGTTAGCCTTAGTGGTCTAATTTCCTTGGCTGCATTCTTCTCATCCTCTAGCCGTTGTGGGTTTGTGCATTGGTTGGAGCAACCATTTGGGAGTGTGGGCTTTGTTTCTTCACTCTTTGTGGTGTTGGTTTGGAAGCTGAGCCCGGATTCAAAGAGAGAAGAGTTGGGTTTTTCCTTCACATTTGGTATCAGAGCCTTGGTGGCGTGTTTTTCCGACGAAGACAGCTCCAAAAACCTGCGAAGAAGGTTGCTAGAAATTTTGTCCAGATTTCTTCCCTAAAAACCGAACCCATTTGCTTCAATTCCGGCCAACCCGTTTACTGCCCCGGAGAAATTAAGCCCATATACGAGCTCTGCAGACCGAGGTGCTGCTGGGTAGTACGAAAATCTGGCTGAAATCGACAATGAGGAAGACGGACGGCTGGGTGGTGCGAGTTTTCACGCGAAGTCCAACCTCTGTTTCTCTCGATTTCGGCCAAACCATTGACTTGCCGAAAAATCTGAGACCACATTCACTCTCAGTAGACAGAGGCGCCCCTGCTGGTGGTGCGGGTGTACTCCGGCGGCAGCGCGTGGAGGCTGTTTCCGGCCAACTTTCTTCAGGCAGTTTGTTATATTTGATTTCCAGAACATACTGATATATTTATTTTAGTGTTTCAGGTTTTGCATAAAATATTGGAAGAGTTTGCCCTTTTGGTGATTAAGATAGATTCGAGGCAGCGACTGCAAAAATATTTATTGAATTACTTTAGGCCATAAATTGCGGCCTAAAGCAGTAAATTCGCACCTCTCGAAAATTACGGACTCAGACAAATTCGCTCTGATAAATTGGCTGATCCTCTTTTAATTTCAGCACTAGCGCGTCATCGTGTGGGGGTGACAAGAGGATTGGGGTTACCGTGTGGGGTAACCATTGTTTGTGCTAGAAATTAGGAATTAACTGTTTTTTGTTTGCTACGTGTTTGACATTTGCTCTTTTGATCAATTACAGCATATTATCGTTTGTGATATATTGTGAGTGAAACTTTTTTGTTGATTATCCTCCTGTTGCATTGATAAGTCCCTAGAATACCTAGACCTTACCCGTTTGAAAATTTCCTTGATCTAAGATCGTGAATCTTACGAAACCCTGGAAATTTTAAAACGGTGTATATTTGCGAACCTAGGTCTACTTTGTGTGGCTTAATTGTGACTTTGTGTTTTTTGTTTGAAAATGACAATGCACAATTTTGATTTGGGAACTTTTACTGGAAAAGGTGATTTTTCTATTTGGCAACAGAAAATGCGAGGTATTTTGGTTCAACAAAAGGTTTCGAAAGCCATTGATGGCAATTTTCCCGCTGATTTTTCAAAAGAACAAAAAGAAGAAGCTGATGAGCTTGCTTACACCTCTATTATTTTACACTTGTCTGACGCAGTTTTGAGAAAAGTGGGTAAACTGAAAACCACTAAAGAACTTTGGCAAAAATTGGAAGATTTGTATTTGCTTAAATCTACTCCCAACAAGCTCTACTTACTCGAGCGTTTTTTCAGTTTCAAAATGGATTCCTCAAAAGAACTTGATGACAATTTAGATGTGTTTAACAAACTTGTACAAGATATTGTTAACTGTGGAGAGTCGGTGCCTGAAACATACAAAGCTATTATACTGCTGAATGCTATACCTGATATTTATCGTGAAGTGAAAAATGCTATTAAGTATGGTAGGGACACCTTGACACCTGAAATTGTCGTTGACTCTCTTAGAAGTAAAGAGATGGAGATGAGGGCTGAAAAACATGATAGGAAGAGCGGTGAGATTCACATGATGAGGGGTAGAACTCAGTTTAGGCAAAACAGTCATAATGGTTACCAAAGTAGTGGCGAGTCTAGTAGTAATGGATATAGAAGGAAAAGCAGGGGTAAGCCTAGATCCAAATCTAGGACTAAGGAAAGAAAATGCTATGGCTGTGGGAACACGGGGCATTTTATAAAAGATTGCTATAAAGAGAAAAATAAGCAAAAGGGTCGAGATAGAGACGAGGTGAATGTGTTGTCGTCTGACTCTGGTAATTGTGATGGTGAAATCTATATGATTACCAATTCTGTTGTTTCTTCTGCTGAATTAAACTCAACTGCAAATTCTCGTTTTCATGAGTGGATTCTTGATTCTGGTGCATCTTTTCATGTGACATCACATAAAGATTGGTTTGAAAATTTGTATGAATCAAATGATGGGCATGTTGTGTTGTGTGACAATTCTGCTTACAATGTTGTTGGCATGGGTGATATTACGTTGAAGTTTGATACTGGTTTTGTGTATACTTTAAAGGACGTTAAATATATCCCTGAATTGTCTAGAAACTTAATTTCAGTAGGAAGACTTGAGAAATCTGATTTCACTGGTAAAATTGGAAATGGGATTTTGAAATTGATTAAAGGTGCACTCGTTTCTATTAAGGGTATTAGAAAAAATGATATTTATATAACCACTGGGGAAGTGATGAGAGGTTTAGACTCCTCTATATCTTCTGCCAAGTCTGATCATACACACAAATGGCACAATAGACTTGCACATGTGGGTATTAAGGGGATTAAGCTTCTTAATGAAAAAGGTGCTTTTGGAAATGACTGTGTGTCTGATTTGTCTTTCTGTGACCATTGTGTGCTTGGCAAACACCATAAAACTACTTTCTCCACAAGTGTTCATAATACTAGAACCATGCTTGAATATGTGCATTCGGACCTGTGGGGTCCATCTAGCACTCCCACCGCAGGTGGGAATAGGTATTTCTTGTCTATTATTGATGACTATACTAGGAAAGTGTGGGTTTACCTTTTGAAAGAGAAATCCGACACTTTCGATAAATTTAATAATTGGAAAAGACAAGTTGAAAACCAAACTGGTAAGAAGATCAAGTTTTTGAGAACTGATAATGGTCTAGAGTTTTGTAACACTGATTTTGATAATATGTGCAAGGAAAGTGGAATAACAAGGCATAAAACGGTTCCTTACACTCCCCAACAAAATGGGGTAGCGGAAAGGATGAATAGAACCATACTTGATAAAGTGCGTTGCATGATGTTAAGTTCTGGAGTCCCGAAGTCATTTTGGGGCGATGCTGTTATGACTGCTTGTTATTTGATTAATTTGACTCCATCTGCTGCATTGAATGGTGATACTCCGCATGAAAAATGGTTTGGTAAACTTAGTGATTACTCCATGCTTAGAACTTTTGGCTGCACTGCTTTTTCTCATCAGAGTGAGGGAAAGCTTGAACCTAGAGCTAGGAAATGTGTTTTTCTAGGTTACCCCGAAGGTGTCAAGGGGTATAGGTTGTGGGATAGGAGCCAGAAAGGAGTTAAAATCATTGTGAGTAGAGATGTTACATTCAATGAGAGCGAAATGCCATGTTTGAAAGCTGAATCTGAACCTGTAAGTGAGGAAATACAAGGTGAAGAGAGTAGTCAGCTGAAGGTGGAGTTAGGGAAACCTAGCACATTCATCCCTGTTACACAGAGTGAGGTGGAGACTCAGGAACAACAACCTGATGTCGAGAATGGAGATGAAGTAGTAGTAGAAGAATACCCTGAAG